CCACTAAACTCCAGTAGGTTAGACTGTAATGTCTAATGGGGTGTGGCAGGGCGTTGAAGTTAACAGCATCCCCTGAGTGCACTTCAAGCACTGGATACTTTCATAGTACCTAAGTTACTCTGGGGACCTCTGACCTATCTGTCAAAATGTTCATTGGGTTTTACAGTGCATTTGTTAAGCTGTTTATTTACAACTGTTTGCATCATAAATTCATCTGTTATATGTCTGTGGAGGTGTGCCACATTTTGCCCACCACACATAAAGGACTACACTGCAGATATTCTAATGGATGGCATTTGATTGTTGTCTTTATTTTTGATTTGAGTGATTTTTGATTATTATTAGCCTCCTAGGCTGTCCTGATGTGAACATATTGATATTATTTCACAGTGGAACAGCCTCCATTCATTTGTATAAATTTGGTCAGGTTGTGATGATGATATTTGTTCTCACTGTCAGAGAGGGTTTTGAACCATTCAGGCAGACTTCAGCCACCACTAGGAGCACCAAGAGGGACTCAGAACCATTAGCACTGCTGAAGTGCCCTTGTGCAACTCACCATACTTAATAGCTGCTACCCTTATCTCTGACTGACTCAGCATTATGACATCAGTGAATGCTATGTGGAAAAATCATTTTGTCCTGACTGACGAGCTTGCAGAGTCTGGCAGTTGAAAATTATTTCAGGAGGGAAGAGGATCTGAGGTGTGTTTTATGTTTGATGTTGAAGGCAGATTGAGGGTTGAGTAAGTCAAACCAAGTGCGCCTGTCTGCATTCTGATGAGGCGAAAGCTCTTACCGCCTTTTGAGATCTTATTGCAGTACTCTCAGAAACTGCTGCACAAATGAGGCTTTGCTCATAAGAGTCTTTTCAATCAAGGCCTGGGCACAAAATGGCAGCTGAGAACATTAAACTTAAAGAACCCTACAGTGATATACACTGTCAAAATACAATAAAACCTATGTTACAGAAAGAACATAAATAAACACAGTGAAGACAGTATTTGTATCGGTCTCAAGTGGGCATCGACTGCTTCAGTTGAAATGTGCCCCATCCCATTACTGTCAATATGTGCGCTCGGTCAGTATTAACATATGGAGAGGAGAAGGTTATTAATTAAAGCTGTGTACACTCACATAAAACCACAGATCAGAGAGAGGTTCTTTTCTTCAGCGGCTCAGCAGCTGATTAACCTACCTTTGATCCTGTACATGTGGATATACATGTACAAGATAAGTGACAGCTGAAACACACATACTGACAGGAGGTGACGTAGATATTCAATAAGGATTGGAAGACGTTTCAGTTAAATACAAATGTAGTATTGTAATGCTAGCAGCAACCTGTTCTGCCTTTACTGCCTTGCTGTGAGTCTGTCTATCTCAGCCAGTCGGCGTTCTTCACTGGACACTCATCCCTCAACCCTCCCCTCTTCTTAAAGAAAGCAGCAGCTGCCGCCTCTTCTGTTTCCTCTCCGAGCCAGGGTTAACAAATTCCCTCTGATTTACAAGGTCATAAAACTTCCCTGTTCCTCCTCCTCCTCCTCCTCTCCTGCTTCATTCAACCTCTCCAGCTAGCATCAGTTAGCATGTGCTCTTGTTCAAGGCTGCCGCAGTCGATCTGCCTCCTGGTTTCAGATTGCATATGGTGTGGTCTTGGAGACGTGTCCATCCCCATACAGTACGGATGAATAAACATTCTCTGTGTGCTGAAATTCACATTGGTTCTCCAAGGACGTGAAGGGGGAAATGTGCAATAATTTTATCTGTCCTCACCCCAGTTAGTGTTGCCAAGTCATAGCTTCTTTGTCCTTCACAAGGTGCAGGCTGAGGCAGGATTATGAACTGAAATTGAATATTAATGCAAGAAGCAAAAAGCAAAGGAAATCCACAATAAATCTAAGCATGTTGACACGGCTTCTCCTACATGTTGTCCACACGTACTGTCTTGCTCTACCAAGGATGTGATTTTTATATCTTGCAGCCTTTTTCTGGGTTGTTCTTTTTTAAACACACACTGCTTTATTTCACCATGCCTTTGTATTACATACTGTACATTGAGGGGACCGAAACCTGTTAACACACTCACATTGTGGGGACTCCGCCTGACTTTTAGGTTGGCAACATGGTCTAAAATTGGGTATTAGGCAAGTAGTGGTTATGGTTAAGGTCAGGATAAGTCTACAGGAAATGAATGTAAATCAATGTAAAGTCCTCACAAGGAATAAAAACACAGCGTGTGTGTTTGTGTGTGTGAATGCAGCCTCGCTTCAGAAAGTGTCAGGCCAGTGATGTCCTCTGGCCGTGAAGCTTTGTGGCAGCTGTCTTGAACGCTCATGGCAGTGGTCACATCACACACATCCTGCTGCCTTTACAGATGTTACAATGTCTGCCTTTACTTGTGTGTTTTTTCCCTTCCTCTGTCAGTCATGCCACACATCACACTCTTACATGTTCGCAGAATTTATGAATATGATAGACATATAATCTATATATGTATATAGAGGTGGAAAGTAACTAAGTACATTTACTGAAGTACTGTACTTAAGTACAATTTTGATATTAACTTGATTATTTTCTTCACTACCTTTCTGAGAAAAATATCATACCTTGTACCCACTGCATTTATTTGACAAATTACTAGTAATAAAATACAGTACAACCATAACACTTTATTGATCCTTGGTGTAAAATGCACAAGCTACCCAGCAGTAGTCCATATTATAAGCATATTAGATTAAAATTAGCTCTGCCTTTAGCAGCTACGAGATTAAATGTGATGTACACAATAATATATCAATAATTTTAATTCACTAATATGCATTCATGTGAATTGTGCCAGTCAGCATAATGACTACTCTTACTTTTGGTATTTTAAGTGTATTTTATGCTAAAACTTTTGTACTCAAGTAACATTTTCAATACAGGATTTTTGCTTGTAACAGAGTATTTTTACACTGTTGTATTGCAACTTTTATTCAAGTAAACAACTTCTTCCTTTAGAGTTTGTTGTAAATATAATCTGTATTATAATACTGCATTTTAGTACTAAATCTTTGCTAAGCTCATGAATCATTAAAACCTTAACTTCCATTTTTTAATTCTATGTTGAATGTGGCCAAATCATTACCAGTGTCAGTCTTTTTATCATATCAGAGTACTAACAGCTCATGTCAAGTTTAACAGATAGGTTAAATTATTCAATATATTGACAGGAATTACCAGGCTGCATTGGAATCACTTGCATTTTTAGACAGTAAAATGTAAATATATCAGGATTAATGGCATTTCTAGACACATGTCACAGTATGGGTGCCTCAGTGCTTGTATTTTCATCAATTTCTTCTGATTTCTTTCTATAGATTTTGCGTGTGTGTGTGTGTGTGTGTGTGTGTGGCCCCTCTTCAGATAACTATTAACCTTCATTTATAAATCCCTCCTCACATACATGAATCCTAGCTCAGCTCTCCTGAGTGAAAAGATTACAGGGTAGTGATTTCACTGTCTAATTAGGACATCATCCAGCACATGCACACTTACATACAGTATATACACACACACACACACACACTAGGCTATTGTAGTTACAGCAGCCTGACTGGAGATATCTGATAGCCAGGCCTCCAGGGATCCTGGCGAGCGGCTCCCTGAAATTTAAGCCGCCAAAGGAAGCATTGAGGCAGTAACATGCACACACACAGAGAGAGAGAGAGCAGGGAACTAGAACAGTTTAAAATGCAGGCTCATGTGTGGGGGTTTGAAATGGGTAGCCTTTAACACAAACGAGACCTCGCTGCCCCATGACAGTTGAAACTAATGGTAATCAATAATATTGCAGTGGTTATGACTGGGACTGTAGGTGACACGTACTGGTGAATGTGTCTCTGTGGCATTATCCTGTCATTATGGAGAAAATAGCCAGCTTTTATCTAAACTGCCTTCCTTGAGCTTTAAAAGCACTCGACTGTACTGTACATCAGTCCCATGTGGCACAGTTTTCAACGGGGACAGGACAAAGTGAAACTGACAGATTTTGCACTGTGCTCCAGCAGGAGACACTGTTTAGGTTACACTCTCCTTTGAAAATCAAAGACCTGCTGTGACAATCTCAGTGTGGGGACCATCAAAAACCTTTCATTAAGGAAGTAATGCTTCCATCCAAACTGATTAGCATGACATAGCTTTAAATAGAAGCTCTTAACAGGGCCCCTGTGAGCAACTTGACAGGGCCTGCTAGAAATTTATGAGCGGAGTAAACACATTATCAGCCAAAGTTGTTATTTAAAAAAAAAAGGGTCTGATATCACACCTTGCCACATCCTTTGCCTAACCCCAGCTCACACACAGCCTGGAGTCAATCGCGTGGACTGAATTAGTTGTCGACAAACACATGAAACAATGCAGAGGCAACATACAAACAAAAGCTGCTGTTACAGATTCACGCATATATTTGTTCAGGTTTAAATGCTTGATTTAAGATTCTTCCTGTCCTTGGTGCACTTTTGACCTCAAAATCAGCTGAGTAGCATTCCTGTAAATGTACTATAAACGTAGGCTGGACATGACTTGGTATAATGGAGGCTGTTTTTATTGGCCATTTATACTTTGTCTAATCAAAGACATCACAGATCACATGCACTTTTATGTCAGTAGCCGGCCATTGTGTGCACTGTTGCTCTTCACACGGTGCTATTTTAAGGTCTGTGGCCAGATGGTCAGTCAGGTAGCTTGGACAAAAGTTCACCGGGCTACACAATAGAGTAATGATACTGCTCTGCTTTTTCTGGACTGCACCAGCTTAACCTAACTGCAATGATAAATTATTTTCAGTTTGTGTCAGTATTTTGCAAGTGAATGTGGTGTTTCTTTCTTTTTTAATGAAAATAAATGTGCCTTCTCTGATTTCCATGGAGTTGTTAGTCTGCTGAACTCTCCCAGCGAAAAATAACCAGTGGAAAAAACTCAGTGGTCCTTTTTTGCTTTCTCTCTATTTGTCTCAGGACAAGAAGAAATACCTTGACATTATCCACAGCTACATGGAGGTTCACGGCACCGTGCACGGCACTAGCACTGTGCACCTCCCGAGCTATGTCAAGAACCATGGCATCTTGAGCGGTCGAGACCTGCAGTTCCTCCTCCGGGAAACCAAGGTGAGTGTGCCTGGCTCTAATTTGTCTCACATGAAAGCATGGCCCTACAGGGAAATAAAAATGTGACCAGTGAATGCCACAGATTCCCTTTGACATTTTTAAATAACTAAGAACCTGTGGTTCAGCTGACCTGCAGCGTAGTGAGGATGCACTCTATCTTTGTCACAAGCCCCTGATTCATTTTACGTGCTGAGGTTGTGAGACCAGCTCTGAAATCTCCTTTAATAGTCTTTCCTTGAATGAAATGAACAGATAGGATTGGTCAGATATGCTAGATACTATAAATTCACCTAAGGCGGCATTCATTTTGTTAACCAAGATTGACCAGCTTTGTCTGAACACAAAGACCTCTCACTTGCAAGTGTAACTTCTAAGCACATTTCAGTGCAAAAATGCAACTTGAAGGGCAAGTTGGAGATATGTTAGCTGTTGGATGAAGAAGAGTGGAAAACAGAGACCCTCTTTTCAAGAGCCTTGTGCTCAGTGGCTCTAGTTTCTGTCCTCAATCCACGTTATGACTTGTCCCTCTCACTACTCAGACCATTCTCGCACACTGGACTGTACCGTAAGGAGCGAGCTCTCCAGAGGCAGTGACGTACGAACACGTCAGCAGCTAAACGCACACTGTACCTATTGATGGAAAGCTGTGAAGTGATGAGTGTAATGCCACCTTAAAAACAATACATTTAGTTATCAATAACATAAAAAACAGATAGCTTCTAGAAATAGAATTAAATTGACATGATCCTCAAACACCAGACACAATGTTTGGTGAAGGTGAAACCCACCCCTGGTGCTGGCATTGGAAGATGGAGTCTGTGTTTTGGGTCCAGCCTTCATCCTTCTCAGAGGAATATTCCTGGAGGAGAGCCTCGATTTCTCAAGCCTCTGAAACCAGATGCTTCCATGTCGAACCAGGGTTAGGTGACAGGAACGGGACATCAGACTAGAGGTGTGGCACACATCATGATGCCAACAGTCATAGAGAAAAGATGGATCAGGATTTTTGCTGAAAAGATTCCGAGCCCTGTGTCGGCCATGAAACGGTTCTTGGAGGCCAGATTTGATCACCCACAGCCAGTGTTGTTAAAAGTGATGTTAATGACTGAGACAGAGAAAAGTGAGATACAGTATAAGATCAATTGATGGAATGCTTTATTGACCCCTAAATAGAGATTTCATGTGGTTCTGCATGGAAACCTCATAGGAGAATGGCCTGTTAAATCCCACAAAACCCAACACGTTAAGAGCTTACAAGGAAAACGGGAGGCACTGTTGGCACAGATTTTCTCATGCTACGTAAACTACACATTAATTGTTACCTGTACACAGGCTGCCTCAGCTAATTGGCCTCGTGGGGGTTAACGCCTAACAGTCTGCTATAAAAATACTCAGAGTGCAGAGGCGTTCCTGTGAAGACGAGTATGTCTTCTGATATTTGATTTTCTCCCCAATAAAAATGCTTAAAAGAAACTGATGTACTGTGGCCTATCAGGAAAATAGTGTCAGTGATCAAAGTGCTGAAGTGTGTGAGTCACATCTTTCTGAATTGTTTCTCTTATATTTCACACTTGTTTAATTTCCTCTAGTTTGTCTGTTTTGTGTTTCTCATTTTCTTTGTTTTTCCCACTCCTCAACACAACTACTACATTACATGTTAACCATCGATTTGGATGTAGGACAAAGAAGTAACCTGTTTTATTTTAGAATACCAGTTTTTTCCTCTTCTTTTTGCTTTTACATTATTGCATAGTAAAAAACCACATCCCATGGCAGGTGCTGGAGCTATAAACAACCTCATGAAGTCCCAGGGCCATTGAACTCAGCCACTCCTATGTTAAGTCAGTCACAAAACTACAAACATCTTGTGATGAAGCAGAAGGAGCTGGATGTTCTTTGTTATTTCATTATCCTTTGCATTACAAATAAGGATGGTTGGTCTGTTAAATTGCATGCGAGTCAAAGAGACAGAGAGGAGAGGCTCCTCTTTGTGTGTGCTGTTTCTGTTGGGTGCTCTGAAAACTACTAAGGAACTCATGGAGAGTGTGGGAGCCTTCATCAGTATCTTTTTAGTGGGTGATGTGGAGTTCTTTGTTCAGATCCTCTAGCTGTTGGTGCTCAGGATCACCACCCATTGTTCAGACCTTTCCTTGGAATGATGGCTGATGAGTTACTACTTTATCTGAGAAGCAAATTAGTCTGGTGATAGGACAGTTGTATGATGATAATATAATATGAAAAACAGTGAATTGTTTTTCTTTTTTTAGTTTCATGCTGATGGAAGATCCCAGTGGAGCCCTTATTCAAAGTTAAATCAGCTTCCGAACACAGGAAGTACTCCTCCCCAAAATTAAAGCATCTTTTTTGAATGTTTGTGTCATGTTGCACTAAGGTGCAGTGCTTAGTCTTGGAGTGATGTCACGTATCTGAGTTGAGGGATGGATGGATGGAGACGCACGTATCTGAGTTGAGGGATGGATGGAGACAAGCTGTATGCTCCGAGTGGAAAGAGGCAGTCTGAGAGATTGCTAACATTTGTGGAGAGAGACAGTGTCACAGTTAGCAGCCATTTTTAATTCCCTGCCTTAACTAGAGCTGGCATGTGCTGATATGTCAGGTGCATATCAGTTTTTCTCTGTGAGCTGCACACACACAGGTGAAGCCGCTGAGCTGATGATCAGATTGAACATGCCTTGCCACAGGGCTTCAGTTTGGCTCATTCATGTCTGGGGGCTCTGTGGGAGCAGACGCTGCTCCTAGACACACTGGCACAGTGACAGTTCTGGAAGCAGTTTGTCAGATAATAGTTTGAATGCACAGCCAAGTGTCTCGTGTGCATCTTCCAGGACCCTGAGGGGGCTCCATAAGTAAACACTTAAATAACTGAAAATTAATCAGCAGCTATTTTGATCATTGCTTAACTGTTTCTGTCATCACTTGCTTGCGCTTCTCAAATATGGTTTTATTTGTTGTACCTAACAGCCAATTGAATATCTTAATATTTGATACTGTTGGTCAAACAAAACAGTCCCACACAAGACCTTACCTAGGCCTGAGAACATTTCAGTGCCTTCTTTTTATTGCTTTTTAATGTTTCGTCATTAACTAAACAATTCATCAAAAAAAGCAGATGAATAGGTGATGAAAAATCATTAGTTGCAGAAGCATACATTTGCTTACATAGAATCTTGAATGAGGTACTTAAAGGAGTATTTTGAAATTGAAATATTGCTATTTTTACTTCAGTGATTGTCTGAATACTTCTTCCAGCACTGAAAATGTTACTTCTAACCAGAGTATTGCACATTAATGACATTTGTCTGTTGTGTTCAGTGACATTTTCTTAACATGTGCTGCTGTTTCATCCTCCTCATCGTTACCTCACGTGCACTGGCAGTGGGTGAAGATCAGAATTGCAACTGACACCAGGCTCAGGAGAACAACAGCATTGATCACTCACACTTGATACTCACATGAATATATAGAACTGGTTTAATGCAAGTTAATCAGGAGCTCTCAGGTGTTGGTTCCTCTTTATAAACCTCTACCAGTCCCACGAGAGATGTGTGGGTCCACTGCTTCTGCTCTCAGCCATTGAGGCTCGCTCGGTCTCCTCTCTTCATTCCCTGCATCCTCGCAGCCTATAATAAATAAAGCCTTGAGGAGCTTTTGCATGCACAGACATACAACAGAGGAAAAGGAACTGTGCTATACTGCCACCTGTTGGCAGAACAAGAAATGATTATATTATTATTACAGATTCTTCAGGTGTATAGCACTGCACAGTGTGTTAGACAGTGAGTGTGTCTCTGTGTGTGTTCTGTTCTGTTCCTATGGGCAGATACACACACCAACTAATACCACACAGAGTAGCCGCTGTGGCCCGGGTTGCCCCTACCCCCCTCCCTCAGCCTCATGTGGACAAGCTGCTGCAGGTTGTGGCATTCTGCAGCTGCCTCACAATTATTTACTCTTCCCATCCAGAGAAAAGAAGTTCTTTATATGTAAAGAATTGTCCTAAAAGTATATTTGGCCCTTATGAGTACACACAGTACACATAGTACACACAGTATTCTGGAACAATCAGTGGCTTTAGAAACCCACTGATTCCTTTTCCCTTCCATCTGTATCTTGTGTTTATTTCTCTCTTTTTGTCTTTTAAATGTGGTTTTAAATGGTTTAATGAGCATTTTAAAGGATTGGTTCATGGTTTTAAGAGCTACTGTGAAGCTTTAGGAATCTTGTTTCCATGCTGACACTGAGGTAGTGTGTTTCCATCAGCAAAATAACCAAAGCACTCCCTCCTTACCAAAGCTGTAGTGGCCTGTGGGAAGAATAAACATAATAGGGAGGTCTTCATATTATTCTGCTTGTTTTCCCTCCTTGTGTTATATTAAGAGAATACTGCTGCTTCAAGTGTTTTTTGTGCTGATAACACAGGAGGTTTGTTTCAACAAGGGCCAACTGCTGCTATCAGCAAACACCAGAAGCTCCTCAGCTCAGCCAGTGAGCTTCTCTCCCCGTCCGAACACAGGCATCGTAGTTACCGTAGCTGTTTCAGTGGCTGCAGGATGTTGACTCCAACATGCCTTCTTCTCGTTTGCCTCCAAGTCTTGAACGTGTGCTATCAGCTTTTTAAAAAAGCATGAACACAGACCGTTTCTTGATTGGGTTTACATTAACCAGCAGTGTTAGTACAGCCATCCTGGAGTTCAAGCTGTACCTTCATATTGTTGCAAAATAGTCATTTTTCACAGTTTATGTGCATGTTCTCAGCCTCTGGCCTTTAGTTTTGTTATTCATTTCACATTTCGAGCAACAAACTGTAAGAAAGTCACTGAGGGTCAAAGCACACGATCTTTTTCTTTGAAACTACAACATATTTGAAGAAGATGCTGTGTGTATGTGTCCTCTGCCTAACACTGGGTTAAAACCAGCATTAGAAGCTTAATGGAGTCTGTTGCTCTTGATATTTTCTCTCCTCTGCAGTTGTTCGTGGGTCTGTCCTTCCCATACGAGGGCCCTGCCCCTCTGGAGGCCATCGCCAACGGCTGCGCATTCCTCAACCCTAAGTTCAGCCCGCCAAAGAGCAGCAAGAACACTGATTTCTTCAAGGGCAAACCCACTCTGAGAGAGGTGAGTGGAGGAGGACAAGGTTGCAGTCCTTTCCCCAACATACGACTGTTAAATGCTGACTGGTTTTCTCCTGACTGCAGTTGACTTCCCAACATCCATATGCTGAGGTGTACATTGGGCAGCCCCATGTGTGGACAGTGGATATCGAGAACCCTGCTGAGGTGGAGAGGGCGATTCGCTCCATCCTCAGCCAGAAGGTAAACATGGAGCAAAGACACACTGGCACACAATCAGTCATTCATTTCAGCTTTGGGGCTCAGGCTAATTGACAGAAGTGTTTGGAAGGCACCATCTCCAGAGACAGCATGTGTGTGAAGAGAGACAGATCCTGTTGTGTCTTCTTGCATGTACATGTATATTTAAATCCCGGACTCAGACCTCGTGTTGTGCTGTGCTCTGCCAAGCGAATCCAAACAATGTCTTATTCATCTGACACACCCGGCAACCGTCATGTGCTCTGTGATCCGTGGCGAGCTGCTCACACTCACAAGACACGGGCTCAGTGCAGAGGCAAGGGCTTCAGCCATTGGTCTGCCTTGTTTGAAGTTTCCCTCAGTAAATCCAAGGCAGCAGGCTGATGTTCGACCAGTGTGAGTTCTGTGTGCCTTCATACACACATGCACAGAGAAACGGGCTCTATTCAGCTCTGCTTAGACACACACTCTGGCTTTGTGAGATTGCCAGAGAATCTCTCTTGACTTATCTTTTTGTTTGTGTGATCAGATTGAGCCCTACCTGCCCTATGAGTTCACCTGTGAGGGGATGCTGCAGAGAGTCAATGCCTTCATCGAGAAGCAGGTACTGCCTACAGAGCGAATTCACACAAAACATGCTGAAATTTGGTGAACCTGAAGGCGTGTGCATGTGGAATTTGTCTAAGCATGTTTTGACTGCGTTTCCTGCCTTTTTGTTGTCAGGACTTCTGCCACGGTCAGGTGATGTGGCCTCCCCTCAGCGCCCTGCAGGTCAAACTGGCTGAGCCGGGACACTCCTGTAAGCAGGTGTGTCAGGAGGAGCAGCTCATCTGTGAGCCCTCCTTCTTTCAGCACCTCAACAAGGACAAGGACCTGGCCAGGTGCGACAACAACCCCCCCCAAACACACCAAATGAATGTATACATAGAAACAAGAGTAGATACAGTGTTTGAGGTGTTATGTTAAAAGTGGCCATCAGGTGGCAGCACAGCACAGATTTGAGCTGTTACGGGGGGGCAGTTTCTTTACTGATCAGTCTCATTCAGAGTCAGTTATACCGTATATGGACAAGAAAAACAAGCCATTAAAGATAAAGGCAGTAAAATCTGTGTGTTTCTCAGGTTTGGTGTTGAGTGTCAGACGGTGGAGTCCAGTGCTGACACGGTGGTCCCGGCCTACAGCGAGGCTCGCCACCACTGCATCTTCCAGTCAGACCTGCTGCTGTTCAGCTGTGCCGGTGCCAATCAGTCGCTGCGACGCGTCTGCCCCTGTCGTGACTACATGAAAGGCCAGGTGGCGCTGTGTAAAGACTGCCTATAGCGCCCACACAGGCTGACGGGATGGGGTGGGCTGGGTTTTGGGGGGTTTAGTCATGGCTGAAATGGGGGTTAAAATCAGAGCAGCTTCATAAGTGTGCGAGTGTGTTGGAGAGAGACACACTCCAGGGCATCATCGAACACACACACACCAGACATTTACTTGTCTGTGTTTGTTCATCACACTTATTGTTTCCCTCAGCTGCTGGGAGTGAAGCAGCCACCCTGAACATCCATCAACCCCCCGAGTCACCAGCAGAGGCGCTACGAGTCGTGGAAGTGGTGGAATATTACTTGAATCAGCAAAAGGGAGTCGAGTTAGACTTCAGACTGGCAGCACACGTCAGTGACTGGCTGCCTGGTTGTCTCCAGGGCAGCAAGAGACCAAGGAGACTTAAAGACTCCTTTCTCACAGCCCCCAACCCCCACTCCAGCCCCTCCACCCACCTCCCCTGCTCAAATCTGAAACTGTTGATTCTTTAGGTAGGTTTGCACTGGACTGCCCTGAAGGCCCACATCCACTCCACATACACACACACAGACACCCACATGGAGAGCCTAACAGATGGCGGCTAGAGATGAACCCAGTTTTACACTGTAACCAACTCTTTCCTCTCTTCGGGACAGACATGACGAGAGTGGACTTGTCCTGTAGATATGAAGATTTCTATTCTGAAAGCTTGATCATTTCCTGACACATACAACAGTTACAACAGTTTCCATTCCTCCTTAAAAGACAGGAAGAAGTCCAGCTGTGGATCAGGTACCGCACGGTCCGTCCCTCGATTGTCATAAGTTGCACACTTATTTTAAATGGCAGATGTTTTTTTAAGTTGTAAATAAGATTGTGTCACACGTGTGTTTCTACAAAATGCCAGTAGGGAAACATAACCCTGTTTTTGTTTGACACCGTCCGGTACGACACACACACACACACACCCAGAGGTGAGGCTCATTCTCTGTAGCACAGCTGTCGTGTACGACGTCACCTTGCTTCAGGATGTTGTGACGTTGTGTTGTAGATGATAGGCCGTCGTCGTGGTAACACAAGGCTAACATGTTTTTCCAAAGACTCCACAGCCTGCAGAGAAACAGCAGAACCTTACCCAAATGTTTGTGTCTTCATGGAAGCTAAAACCTAGGAGAACAGATCCACACCGGAGAACAGCTCTGAATCCTTTCAACGACAGAAATATGCCGACGCGGCAATCCTGCAGCGCATAATATCTGATCATTCTCTTTGGAGAATCAGTAGAATCCTGATTTGCCTGCAGATTTGTGAAAAAAAGATGAGAATAAAATTCATAGTTCTTGTGGTGAATGGAAAAATGCACTACTATTTGCAGAGGTTTAACAAGATATTAGTAACACTGTACATGGTTCATATGGGTTTTGATGTTTTCTTTTTTTATTTATTTTGTATACAGATCTTTATCTCTGTGTTTTGCTGGAAATCTTTGTTTTTTTATTTATAGCAGGGGTGTCTTTCTTTTTTCCTTTTTATAGATTCCTATTTATGGAGAGAAATTAAAAATAAAAAAGGATGCGTGCTGATCTTTAAGTGTATGAACCAGTAGGCAAGGCCTTATCTGCTTCTGGAAAAATTAAAGCAGTAGTTTGAAGGAAAAATAAGAACTCCATTCAGACCAAAAAGGCTAAAGATGCATCAGATGTTCCAGGGAAACAAATTTTACACAGAAAAATGTTTGAGCAAAAAATTATAATGTGTAGAGAAATGATCACACCAAGAATAATTTAATTTGAGCAAGTGTTTTATTCCTAAAAACATGAAAACCGTGCCACGGGGATTAAGAAACCTGACAACTAGTTTAAAATCTTATCCTCAAATTTTAGCTGCTGTTTCCGGTTTTCTCTTCGTCCTCTCATCACTGTCCCTTGAAGACGAACAGTGGCAGACAAAAGTGAAAGCAGGAGCCTCGCACACTTTGTCCTTTGATTTCCAATCTGATTTTCAGTTTGCACATGTGTAAATTCAGACTAGATGGCACTGTTCAGCTATCATTCCTCACTGTGTCAGCTCAGACTGTTGTTTTTTTTGTTTTGTTTTGTTTTACTTTTTGAAGCAGGTCAGTGATCTGCTGCTAAGTTAGTGTTTCAAAGAACATGATGTGCCTTTTCTCACTTCATTTTGCTTCTGCTTCTGTTTGACTGTCAGCAAACTAACCCAGATTTATCTCCACTGATCAGTTGTCATCTTTTTTTTTCCTGCAGATCAGTTTTGTTGTTCAGATTCTTTAAATACTTTGAATTTCAAATATTTTATTTTCTTATTTATTTGAATACAGATGTGTACCTTCTGTAATGCTAAACGTGATCAGTCCAGTCCTTCTATTTACCTCACCGATCGGCCGTTCACTGCTAGTCAGGATTTCTGCCTTAGAAAGGATCATACCAGTGCTAATGTTTCCCATGTACTTATCATTGAATTGACATTTTATAGCAATCTGATGACCCAAGTGTTTTGATTTCAGACTGTATGAACTGCTGTTTTGGAGTAATCAGTAATCATGCAACATGTACTATCAAAGCTTTATTTTGTTTAAACATTAAACTGATTACTCACAGGAAGCTGTTGATGTCACACATATATAAGTAAGCTTAGACTGCACAAAGGTTTAAGCAATGACACCGGTGTTGTCGTTTCATTTCTAAGAAGCGACCTAAACATCAGCAGTGGTTCTTGGCTGCAGCGAGCAGCTGTCAGGTGGTCAGTTAAACCTGTTTTATTCCAGTTAAAGACTTTGTCTGGTTTACTCAAAATATCAAGTGTTTGGTTCCAAGAGAAAACTCAGTGTGTTCCTGAAAATAGGATCACTGATCAGCATAGGTTCACATATTTGTCTTTGTTAACATCAGCATCGAATGTCTCCGTAGTAAAAAGAAAAACAAAAACACACATACAGTGGCTTATAATACAGTCATATATCAATCTTTGTGTTTCAATCGACGTTGTTTGAAGCTGTCAGTTAGCATCCGGTGTGTGAAACACCAGAGTTGTGACGACTGTGGTCCAAGGTGAATAATGAATTGATTTTTGTTTTCACAGTCTTTGACCAGTAAGAGGGATATGACTTTATTTTTAAATAAACATTTTTTTCTGTGACAAAAGGCTCTGATTGTGGTTTGACATTTGTTTGACTTCAAAGCACTACAGTTTAACCTTGAATCCCAGAGTGTGTAACTGTGGGCAATTGTTTGTATAGTTTGAGTCCTGTAACACTGAGCTTAATGGAGTCAACTGAAACTGATCTGGTAGGTTATAAATCTGAGGGGTCATCACACGACTACTGAGAAGAGAAGAAAAAACTAAGTTATTCAGTTTGGGGACTTTTTCACTGTTTAGTGACAATTCTGGATAAGTTTAACAATTTGGGCATTGAACAGTTATTAAGATAAGACATTAGGATCAGTAGTTTAATATATTTTATAAGATTATTATATGTGATGTCTCAATCTTAAAAGTAATTAATTTGTCAGATAATGTAGGGGAGTAAAAAGTATAGTATTTGTGTCTGAAATGTAGTAAAAATGAATTGCATTAGTCCCTGGAGGAGAGGTGAGAAGGGGTTAGGTGTGTGTAGTGACTGTCCCAAGTCGGGGGCGGTCACCTTGTATGTAGGAGCCATGTTTGTGTAAACATGGTCCAGAGTTTTATTTCTAAGTTATGTTTATGTTCTAAGTGTGAAAATCTGAGCTTTAGCAGCTGCTTTTGTCTGTTTCGCATGCCCACGCATTAAACGAGCACGTTAACACGTCATTCAATTCACCTGCGCTTAGGTGCAGTCACGTGGGGACGGGCTTGTTGCCCACTGGTCACTAAGCGAGTGACGTCAGACCGTCATTGGTTTAAATATGGCGGCACTTCAAACTAGTGATGTTCAAATGAAGCATTGAACCAGTATTGAGCCACTTCATCAACTGTAATGAACATGGGTTCATTCATTCATTCAAAGATTCGATGCCACTCCAGTTCCATTTCCTCAGTCCTACAAGTCTTCAAGAGCCTCCTGGGATGTTCTCTGTGGCTGCTTGAGCAACACAAGTGCATTTATTTTCCTTGCAGGTACAGATTGTGTTTAGGACATGAAAAGTTTTCTTTCACACTGACACTTTTCATTTGTTCTCCACAGTCCAGACTCTGCTTGGATGATGTGTATGTTCTTGACAGATCAGTCATGTTCTCTTCAGGATCAACACTGAAAGCCCTAATTTCTGACTTTTGTCCAGGTACAGATGTTTACACTGTCTTTTAAAATTGTTTTTATTTTGCACTTATGTACTTTGTCTGTACTCACTGCATGTAACTGTAGCTATCAAGTTACCTTTACTTGATAACTACACTTGGAGTGAGGGTTTTTATGGGTTGTTTCCCCGCCCCCCGCCCCCTTGGCTAGACCCTCTAACCTTTTACCCCTCTGGCCCATTGAACAGCCGGTGCAAAGAGTCAATGCAAACATATGAACTACTACTGTATTTTATTATCACAAAGTATATAAAATAACAATAGTGTGGCTGCTGACTCAGCATCCACACAATTACAAACATGGCTGGTTAAAGATATCTCCACAAAAGACAAGCATAACTAAAGTTGTCATTAGGTATGTAAAAAAGTACTCTACCACCTTACACATGAATACACTGACAATTCAATGCAACGCTTCCACATCCGTTCTTAAAGCTCATAAGATCTGAAATTCTCAGATGTATAAATTAAACAATTACCGCCCTAGTCAAAGGTGGTGTTGTACTGGACTACATGATATTCAGAGGTGTTCTAATTGTCATGTAAGCTGGTACAACACCACCTTTGACTCTTCTTCTTCTTTCGGCTGTTCCTGTTAAGGGTCCCCACAGCGAATCATCTGTTTCCACCTAACTCTATCCTCGGCATCCTCTACTCTCACCCCAATTAACTTCATGTCCTCTTTTAGCACATCCATATATCTCCTCTTTGGCCTTCCTCTTGACCTCTTGCCTGGCAGCTCCATCTCCAACATCCTTCTACCAGTATAACCACTATCCCTCCTCTGCACATGTCCAAACCATCTCAATCTGGCCTCTCTGACCTTGTCCC